TCCTCTCCCCTGTGTGAATTCTTTGGTGGGAAGTGAGATGGGCTTTCTGGCAGAAACTCTTTCCACATTTCACACATTGATAGGGTTTCTCACCACTGTGAATTCTTTGGTGAGCCATGAGCTTGGTCCTCTTACCAAAGCTCTTTCCACATTCCAAGCACTGATAAGGTTTCTCCCCTGTGTGAATTCTTTGGTGGGAAGTGAGACTTTGCTTCTGGTTGAAGCTCTTCCCACATTCCAAGCAGTGATATGGTTTCTCCCCTGTGTGAATTCTTTCATGGCAAGTTAGATTGGCCCTTTGGCTGAAACTCTTTCCACAATCCAAGCATTCATAGGGTTTCTCACCACTGTGAGTTCGTCGATGGGCCATGAGCTTGGTCCTCTTACCAAAGCCCTTCCCACATTCCAAGCACTGATAAGGTTTCTCACCACTGTGAATTATTTGATGGGAAGGGAGACTTTGCTTATGACTGAAGCTCTTTCCACATTCCAAGCACTGATAGGGTTTCTCCCCTGTGTGAATTCTTTGGTGGGAAGTGAGGTTGACTTTCTGGCGGAAACTCTTCCCACATTCCAAGCACTGATAGGGTTTCTCCCTGTGTGAATTCTTTGGTGGGAAGTGAGGTTGACTTTCTGGCGGAAACTCTTCCCACATTCCAAGCACTGATAGGGTTTCTCCCCTGTGTGAATTCTTTGGTGGGAAGTGAGGCTGACTTTCTGGCGGAAATTCTTTCCACATTCCAAGCACTGATATGGTTTCTCTCCTGTGTGAATTCTTTGGTGGGAAGTGAGATCGGCTCTCTGGCAGAAACTCTTTCCACAATCCAAGCATCGATAGGGTTTCTCCCCAGTATGAATGCTTTGGTGGGAAGTGAGACTTTTCTTCAGACTGAAGCTCTTGCCACATTCCAAGCACTGATAGGATTTTTCACCTGTGTGAATTCTTTGGTGATGAGTGAGATTGACTCTCTGGCAGAAACTCTTTCCACATTCCGAGCACTGATAGGGTTTCTCACCACTGTGAATTCTTTGGTGATGAGTGAGACTTTTCTTCAGACTGAAGCTCTTGCCACATTCCAAGTACTGATAGGGTTTTTCACCTGTGTGAATTCTTTGGTGAGAAGTGAGATTGGCTCTCTGGCAGAAACTCTTTCCACATTCTAAGCACTGATATGGTTTCTCACCACTGTGAATTCTTTGGTGGGAAGTGAGACTTTGCTTCTGGGTGAAGCTCTTTCCACAATTCACACATTGATAGGGTTTCTCCCCAATATGAATTTTTTGGTGGGAAGTAAGACCAGCGCTCACAGTGAAGCTCTTCCCATATTCCAAGCACTGATATGGTTTCTCCCCTGTGTGAATTCTTTGGTGAGAAGTGAGATTGGCTCTCTGTAGGAAACTCTTTCCACATTCTAAGCACTGATATGGTTTCTCACCACTGTGAATTCTTTGATGGGAAGTGAGACTTGCCTTTTGGGTGAAGCCCTTTCCACAATTCACACATTTATATGGTTTCTCCCCAGTATGAATTCTTTGGTGGGAAGTGAGATGGGAGCTCACAGTGAAACTCTTCCCACATTCTGAGCACTGATAGAGTTTTTCACCACTGTGAATCCTTTGATGGACCCTGAGAGTCATCCTGTGATTGAAGCTCCGCCCACATTCCGAGCACTGATAGGGTTTCTCACCTGTATGAATTATTTGATGGGCTGTGAGATGGGTTCTCTGACTGAAACTCTTTCCACACTCTTGGCATTCAAATGGCTTCTCCCCCCTGTGAATTCTCTGATGTTTATGGAAGGTTTTGCTTGCATTAAAGCTTTTCCTACATTCTAAGCACTGATAGGGTTTCTCGCCTGTATGAATTATTTGATGTGAAACGAGATGTGCACTCTTACTGAAGCTCTTTCCACATTCCAAGCATTTCAGTGGGTCCTCCCCTGTGGGAATTATTTCCTGTGAAGTTAGACTTTCATTCCAACAGAATTTTTTTCCCCATTCAGAGAACTGAGAGGGTTTCTTCCCAATAGCATTTCTTTGGTGGGTAGTCGAATGGGAGCCGTGACTGAAGCTCTCTCCACACTCCAAGAGTGGCAATGGCTTCTCCACTGTGTGGATTCTGTCATGGGTGTCCTCGCTCTCAATTTCCAAATCATCACCACCTGCAATGAAGAAATGGATTAGAGCTGCAGGAAGAAATGGAGTGCCACTGTATTGAATATTGATCACTAACCTTTGTGATAGAGGAAGAATTCCATGCATCAACATTGCTGACCACACACTAGAGGTGGCCAGTGTTAGAAACAGAAATAGGACAGCTAGAACATAAAGAGGACCTTAAACCTAGGTTATGGGCTCAAAAATGGAATGTCTAGGTGCACTTTCGTATGACAAAAATACAAAGCTGAAAAGGAATGAACAGCAGCTAAAATAATATGTTCATTTTTCACATGGTCTAGTCCTTCCCCTGCCCACCCCCTGATTTTTTAAGAAGGTCTTGTCACGGGACAGACAGGCAAGGGGAGAACAGAGAGAGAAGTTTTGAGGAAATTGAGCCTGGCAGAGTTTGCATACAATAACACAATGCACGCACCCACAGGTATATCACCACTTGTAGGTTTCAGATCCTCAGAAGACATCAAAAGCGAGACAGATGGGGGGGCTTAGTGGGGGGATGTCCGGGACAGACAGCCCTTGGTCAAGGGATGGGGGAGTATCAGAGCAGGGACAGTCAGACGGGGAAAACAGGGAAATGATGGACGAAGTAGGGGAGAGAAGGCGGAGAGCAGTCAAGTGGTGTCAGGGCTCTGCAGTACTGGAGAGCCCTGCCACCAACCAGGGAGTTCAGGAAGAGAAGGGGAAGCGGTGCCTTCGGCACAGGTGAGGAGAGAATCAAAACGTCTTGAGAGATCCCACATCTGCTGTGTTGGAGAAGGAGCCAAGGAAGCCACTCCCCGAATCTGACTGGTCAGATTCAGATGCATGATTTTGAACTGTAGCTCTTCGTACATATGTAAATAAAGAACTGTAAATATCTCTCTGAGTGAGCAGAGGGTGTTTATGCGAAGAGCAGACACCACCTTGACAGGTCTCTCCTTCAGCCTTCAGAGAGTAGCTGGAGTGGGGAGGCAGAAAAAGGTCCTCCTTTCCTTCCACTCCGCAGTTTTAATCTGAAATCTTAGGTGCAGTACTGCGCAGAGCTCAGAAACTGCTCGTGTCTATGAAATTCCCTGTTGCAAAATGCGCCTATGGGAGTTTCAGACACTGGAGGTGGTGGATGATTTTGTCTCCCTAGGAGGTTCTACCATAACCAACAACCTCTTCATCGATGCTGACCTGGACAAGTGTATTGGCAAGGCAAATGTGTTGCTAACTCTTCAATGCCAAGAGGAAGGTCTATCAGGATTGTGCATTGAGCAAGCAGTTTGTGAAGTGAATTGTGGACAATTACAACCATTAGGGGGGAAACCCTCAAAGTCTTCCATATGCTCCATATCAGGAAGATTTTGGGCAATAGAAGGCAGGACAGTGTCAACAAAGATGTGTTCTCCTGACCTCAGATTCCCAGCATGTTCCCATTTCATTCTCAGCAAGGTCTATGCTGGCTTCATCATGTCCACGGTCAAAATCAATAACCCTCCATTTAATGGAGTTTGGGGGATATTAGAATCCCAGGTGCTGCAAGTGGCCCTGTAGAGCTCCCTCAAAATCAGGGAGGCTTATCACAGAGAGATATGTGTGGAATTTCCAAAAGAGGTTATGATCCACAAGGGAGCCTTACTGAGAGAGGCCACGATCCCATTCTCCTCCATGACTTCCTTATGCAGAGCTCTCTGGTCTAGATCCAGCAACGCCCACTCCTCATCTGTGAAATGAACAGCGACGTCTTCAAAGCACACTGGACCCTAAGAGAGAAAGGGAAAGATCCTCTTTAGACAGCACTAAGGTGGTCTGCTACACATTGCTGTTTCTTTCTGCGCATTAAAAGGGGGGAGGAGAAGGTGGGGAAACCCCATTGTGCAACTGATGCGACAAGATAGGTGATTCCTGGGAACTATTTTTGAGGCTTGATGAACTGCTTAGAAGCCTATCATAGCATTCAATGATAACTCTAGAAATAAAACGACAATGACTTATGAATGATCTATTGACCTTCAGAAGGTGAGTTAAGGCAAGGTGGCTGTTCCTTATTCTCAGCACATTAAGCTTCTCGAATGGCATTCCCAGCCTCCCTGGCTTCTGTCTAGGCTGCCCTTGACAAAGATGCCTTCAGAGAAGCTTGGGCAGAAGCCAAGAGGAGGAGAGAGATTATTTGGGGGCCAGAGGCACCCTGGCTGCCCCACCCTCAGCCCCCTTCCCCACCAGGGCTCCCTCCTCTACCTGAGCTGCTTCCACAGCCGTTGCTTCTCCTTCACCACCAGGAATAGATGGAAGAGGAGGTCTTGCTGGCATCATCTGGTCACCTGCAAGAGACAGAAGTAAGTGGGAAAGCCAGGAGTGCAGCTGCTCTCCAAAAAGTCTCACCTTCTGAGTTGCATCTGGACATTTGGACCCATTTCATAATTTAGTTGGGTTAAAAAATACATCTCCCTCCTTGGTGCTCTTGGCCCCAAGTGTCTACCGCCCCCCCCCCAAAAAAAAAAGAGAGGAAAAGAACCCCATGGATTCGTTTTGATATCCACAGAAAGGGACCAACGGAGAACAGACTCCTTCCTTACCCAGCAGCCTCTCTCTGGTGTCAACGGAGTCCCTTTTGGTCTCCAGAGGAATCTGGGGGCCCATTTCTGCAATCAGATCCTGCCTCTGAAATAGCAACAAAGATTCAAAACAGAGAATATGAAGAAGAGTTAGAAAAGGAATGACAGAGGCAAAAACTGAAGGGCAATCTGATAGCTGTTTTCCAAAAAAGGATGGAGAATTTTCAGATACCCTCACTCACGTTCGGAGGCCCCTTGGGAGTATCCAGAGGAAAGTCTCTCTCACCTGCTGTTCTGCTTGCTTCCCTCTCCTCTGCCTGACTCAGGAGGAAACCTTCGGCCAGGGCCACTGCCTGGGAACTGGTCTCCACTCCACATTCCCTCACCCAACTCTCCATCTCCAGAGGAAGGACAGCCAGGAACTGCTCCAAGATCACCAGGTCCAGCATCTCAGTTTCGTGTGCCTTTCTGGCTTCAGCCACTGATGGTCAAGGCAGTAGAGTCGGCTGCAAACCTTCCGGGGTCCTTTGGCCTCCTGATAGAGAACTGCCTCAATTGCTTGCTCTGCACCCTCTGAGTGGAGAGTGTCCTCCTCTCCCGGGATCTTCTGCACAGTTTCCCCCCAGAATCTCCCACTGCTCCCCGTTTCCATGGCCTGGCCTCTTCCTGCTTCAGGGCCAGCTGAGTCTTGCTCATCCATCTGTGCTCTCAGGAAGCCTCCAAGAGAGATGAAGGAATCCCTTGATCTTCTGCCAAGTTCTGTCTGTCCAAATCAGAGGTGCTAGGGAATTCTACAAACCGAATACATTGTTCTGTTACAAAACTGACATATTGCCTGGAGGAGAAAAATGTTCCGTGAGTCGTGTATGAGTCGTGGAAGAGCCAGCTCTGGACCGCACCACAACCCAGACTCTGAGGTTTCTATAAAAAGGAGAAGGTGAAGTAAGTCTCCAGCCCTCCTGGAGGGAAAGTGACCATGCAAAATGTGCAGGGAACTGTTGGTCTTTGCTCCTGCCTTTCAGAGTTTTCAATCAAGGAATGAAGTCAGAACTGTGATTGACAAGTGAGTCATTTGTACTGAGTGTTATCTGAGCATTGGGTTATAGTGGGAGTCCTAACCCAGGACTCCTCAAGAGTTGCTCTCCTGCCCAACCCCACTTCAGAGCCCATTTCTTTCCTTATCTGGCTAACTTCTGAGGGCCAAATGATATGTGGGTGGGGTCAAAGGTCAGCACTCAAAAGCAAATAAAGTGGAACTCGCCTTTCTATGAGTGTAATGCGTTTTCAACTGTTCTTATTGCTTTTTAAAGAAAATTGTAATCTGCTCTTGGAAATTCAGGTGACAGGCAGGGAACAAGCAGTAACGATGATGATGTTACATTGCTTAACACTCCCCCTCCCCAGTCATGAATACTTGAGGGCACTCCTGGGTCCATCATGGTCACTTGAGGCCCATGTCCAGCTCAGACTAGTTCCCCACCCCACAGACCTTTCGGGACAGAGAGGACATGGCCCTGGTCTTCCCTGCTCTGCGCCAGGTGGGATGGTGGCAACGCTCTCTGTGTGGAACTGCCCTTGAAGGCAACTCCGCTACACATTCACAGCAACAACACAAAGCAATACTACTCAGCTCCTGAGGCCCACAGAGAGACTGGCTACTTTTCTAGGGAGAGTTAAAGGTAGGTAGCCGTGTTGGTCTGCCATAGTCAAAATAAAAAAATTCCTTCCAGTAGCACCTTAAAGACCAACTAAGTTAGTTCTTGGTATGAGCTTTCGTGTGCATGCGCACTTCTTCAGATACACTGAAACAGAAGTTGCCAGATCCTTCTATATAGTGAGAAGGTGGGGAGGGGTATTACTCAGAAGGGTGGTGGGGAATGGGTGATTGGCAGATAGCTGAGATGAGCCTGTTGACGACTCTTAACGACTGCAATAGGTCTTACAGGAAAAGGCAAGGGGGAAATGAGTCATCACTCGAGATGAATCCTGAGTTACAGTGACTCAGCAATTAGCTGTTAACCGTTAACAGCCAGCAGGCTTGAAAGATGTAGGCCTTGCTGCTCCTGCTCTCAAGAACCTTTGTCTCATGACAGCCTCCTATGGGGGAGACAGGGCAGAGGAGCCCCCCATCACCCTCTCCTCCTTCTCCACAGATCGGTCTCCTCCTCTCTGAACGTCGCCTTGATTGTGCTAACGGAGAAATCTGAGGGCTCCCTTGGACAAGAAACAAGGACACCAGCCAGGAATACCAGAGCAAAAGAGCAGCCAGGAGGCTTGGTCTTGATTGAAGTCTGTCACCACAGGACTCCCACCTGCCACCAGGTGAAACAAGATGGAAGCCCCACACAAAAGAGAACCCAAACTTTTATTAGCGGATGGCGCTAATAAACCACAGAGCCTAGGGGCTTGCCGATTGGAAGGTTGGCGGTTCGAATCCCTGTGATGGGGTGAGCTCCCGTTGCTCGGTCCCAGCTCCTGCCAACCCAGCAGTTCAAAAGCATGTCAAGTGCAAATAGATAAATAGGTACTGCTGTGGTGAGAAGGTAAATAGTGTTTCCGTGTGCTGCTCTGGTTCTCCAGAAGTGGCTTAGTCATGCTGGCCACATGACCTGGAAACTGTCTGCAGACAAATGTTGGCTGCCAATAAAGCGAGATGAGCGCTGCAACCCCAAAGTCGTCCGCAACTGGACCTAACAGTCAGGGGTCCCTTTACCCTTTACCTTTAATCCCCATGTTATGCCCCCCCAGCTACATCACTCATACATCACGGTTACATCATGAAAGGGGAGGTCTGGTGGCAGGAATCTGAGCATCCTGGACCCTGCCCCATGGTTCCCCCTGCCCCCCACCAAACACCCATCAAGTGAAACAAAACAGATACTTACTTTTCCCAGCCAAGTGAATCACACCCTTTTGTCTTCATCTGAGTTTGGTATTTCTACAATGGCTACCTGTCTGGTATTCAGGTATCAGGATGCCAGGGATTATCACTCAGGCAGAGGGGCTGCTGAGGAGCTGAGCTCACATGTCTATGTGGATTTCTGAAGTTTTCCCAGTGAGTCAGTACAGAGACATTTTTCAGTGAATTCTTACATTTGGTATCATGCAGAGGCCCTTTGAACAGAGAGGAAGAAACTGTGATGAAGTGTTTTGTGGGGACAAATCACACAAGTCACAAAAGTGATTATGCTGATTTTGGTAGTGGGCTGCATGTGCATGAGATCTGCTGGAGGGGCAACCCCCCCAACCTATACATCAATTCCTGCAACCACTGGTGGCCTCCCTGCCTCTTGTGGGAGGGAGTTCCACAGGTTTTACTCTGCCCTGCAAGAGAAGCGCTTTCTCTTCCCTGCCCTCCGTCTTCCTTCCTTGCACAGGTGAGGTTTTAGGTCCGAACGTTTCCATCCACCTACAACCTCAGTTATACAAGGGGACTGATCCATACATCTGAATGGGGTTTATTTGCATGCATTTCCCCACTCCTGGACCCCAGACCCCTCCCCAAGGGGCCAGCAGCGCATCCATGCAAAGGAAGAGCAGAGCTGCCCTCCTGCGACCCTCCGCCCTGACTTGCCCCCCTCTCGCCATGCAGCGCTGGGACCCCCGCTCTCCCCATGGGCCCTATCCTGGGAGAGAGGAGACTCACCGGATCCCAGCAGGCGCCCCCAGGCAGCCTCTGCAGAGCCGAACCAACGGGACCCCCACACGCCCGACTTCTTGCAGGAAAGGGAGGGGTTGGGCTTTCGCTCGGGAGGACCCTGCCCCCCCCTCTTACTTTTCTGTCTAGGAATCTAGCTCGTTTCCGTTTAACCCTTGGCAAGCCGAGCGCACCCAACTCACGCCTCTCCCTCTCCCGAGAGCCGGAGCATCGCGCACCAATGGCATCCCGAGAAGGCGGAGCAGGAGAGGCTTATGGATTACTTCCGGCAAGGGATACATTCAGTTTTGGCCCCCTAACAGCTGGCCCCTGAACACGGGTCCTAAGAAATCTTCACTGGCTCCCGGTCCATTTCCGAGCACCATTCAAAGTGCTGGCGCTGACTTTGAAAGCCCAAATGTCTCAGCCAGTAGAAGGAAGAGCGTCTCCACGTCCATCGCAGGGAGAGCCAGTGTAAGGCAGTATCATTCCCGCTTTTTTGCATTGGTCAACGCGCGGTGTTGGGAGAAAGATTCTGCTCCAGTCAGAGACCTTTTTTGGGAAGGCTTGAATGCAAATGTGAAAGACGAAATTGCAAGGGGGGAGAGACCCCAGAGCACTCAGGAAGTTGTCCAGAGGGCGCTGACGATTGGGTGCGTCTGGAAGACGTCCATGGAGCAAAGAAGAAGGGCGTTGGGGCGCACGCCAGCGAGAGCACCTCCCCTCTTTCCCAAGGATGCAGCGCGTGCGCAATCCACACCTCCGCAGGGAGGGGATAGGAACCGATGGAGATTGGAGGCGCCAGGGCTCAGTCAGCAACCAGAGCCCTAACACCGGGAGCAGTCAAAGCGAAGCTCCTAGAGGGAACAGGAAGGCTACATCTGCGACAGTGCTCAGCACATGGCGAAAGAGTGTCCCCAGAGGCTCCACAAGCACACTGCAGCCTCCGCAACAGTAACGGAAGCAACTCAGCAGAGAGAACCACAGCAGGGAAACGACGGAGTCTGGCTGGAGGAAGAGGCACTGGGCCCAGCCAGACGAGTCAGTGAAGCAGTCCCAGAAATTTTGCAGCCACAGACCCCTCCCGCCCAAACCAGTGGTGCAGCTCACCGCACGCTCCAGCTACCCAATGGACTCACTATAGAAGTGCCAATTACCATTGACTCTGGTAGTAACGCAGACTTTATAGGACTGGATTTCATTCACAGCACAACATAGCGTTACTGCCAGCCACGCTGCCCCTGAAGGTTGTAACGGTGGATGGCAGGGAATTGCTGGGGGGCAGGGTGGTGAAGC